ATGTGAACCTCCTTGGCATTATCTTTATAAAGGTATTTTATATTTTTTATTAAATTTGGTTTTGTCAAAGTATTCACAAAAATTTTCATATCTTTAATTGCTAAACCTAAAGTGAAAATTGAATGTGCAGTTTCTGTTTTACTTGTACAATATATAGGTGGCTGAGACACAACTATTTTAAAAAATTATATGATTGAATATTCAGAGTAAAACAAATTGATTTTATGCTCATGTAGTTTTCTAACATTGCTGATTTGGAATTAGAACGAAAATTCTTCAAGAATTTGTCTTGTAAATGTATATGGTATTGCAGCTATTGACTCAGGAGAAAAAGTAGGAAGCTGAAAGCAGCTGTAAATAGAATTCTATTTTCTCTTTAGAATTTTGACACACTGCTCACAATAAATCAGTGAATAAGTCTAAGAATCTACTTCATATAAGCACAATATACCAGTTCACAATATTTGGAATCCATGTGATGACTTTTATAATATGAAACACTTTACTACACATTCTTTTTCAATGTAAAGGTGGATGATTTATGAACTACTTATGAAGTTTATGACAAAAATATTTGTTCCTCAAATATGATACTCAGTCCATTGCAGTTACTGTGGTTGCTTGAGGTTTGTTTCTACTTTTAAAGTAAATCTGCAGCAAATCAAGTCTTCGTTAATGCCCTGCAACACTATTAAGTCATTGAGCCAAGGCATTAATTGACATTTAAATAACTGGTGGCTTCTCAGGGTCTGTTCTTCATGTACATTATAAGCAACAAGAGGGCTAGATTTATTAGAATGTGTTCTTAAAGGGGGATCTTAAGGAAGAAAGGGATCTTTAAGGATCCTGGAAGGTCATTTATTTTAATCCAAAAATAGGTACCCATAGTAGACAGATACACCTTTAGATGTGCCTGTTTTTTTCTGTTAACAGTGAAGGGAGCTCAGAGTTTGCTGTAGCTATTGATATTATTTAGGAACACTGATATTATTTAGGAACTACTAGCAAGATTTTTCCTGCTTGCTATGCCAGCTCTTGAATTCATGCTCAAAAAATTTAAATATTGTACTACTTACTGATAGTAAATAAAAAAAAATCACAGTGCTACATAAAATATCATGCCTGTTAAGCTGTACCCCACTTATTTACCCGATAATGAACTTATGTTGCTGCTACTTTTTTTTTTTTTTTTTTTACTTGTTGGAAAGTTTGGAACACTTTGCTGAGGGTATTTACTTTGTATTCCTTTTTGCTGCCTCTGTAAATATGGCTTTCCTGCTGAATTTCCTAATAGTAGTTCAGAGGAAATTTGTCAGATACTGAAGACTTATCTAAATTTTGACACTCCAGAATCTTAGAAAACCTTATACTACCATATATCAAGCAAATTAAAAGGCTTGTCTAACCATTAATGGTGGGCCACATATACAAAGCTCTGGCACTTCATATCCCTTTAAGATATTATATTATAGACCACAATTCACATAAGTCTGACTTGACAGGCAATAATAGGCACTGAACTGACAGGCAGGAAAAATAAACCCCTATTATACAGATATAGTGTTCTGACGAGCAGCATAGTCTGCATACTTACTTACCAATACTTGAAAACTGTGAAGTAGACAAAGTAGCTTTTTATAGATAGGCTTTCACTGGCTGAAACAAAATATGTTTCAAGCTGATCAAAGACGTTTAACTTCTAAAACAGTTTTATAAGATTAGATTTATCAACTAACTGTGATTAATGTAGACAATAGCAATCAAGGCATGGGATTGCTCAGAAGTGTGCACCCTATTAAAAAGTTGCTTTATATTTCCAATATGGTACTTCTCACAGGGTAGTATTCCCCTGCATAGACCATTTATATAGTACTTGGAGTTGCAGCAAATTTACAAATGCAAAATACTTGAATACAGAATGTTATTTCACTTTAGAAGACTTTTCATCCAGCAAATAGTTAGCCATGTCTCTTTCCAAACAGGTAGCAGTGTAGTCTGCTGATAGGTTTGACAACCTACATTTTAAAGTAGATCTGTAGAACATCAAGCCATAGCAAATGGCAAGACAGGTGAAAAAAATGAGTAAATCTTCCACAGAATCACAGACCGGTTGAGGTTGGAAGTCAACTCTGGAGGTTATCTGATCCAGCCTGAGAGCAGCCTCCCAAGACCATGTCCAGGTGTCCTTTGAACATCTCTAAGGTGGAGATTCCTCATTCTCACTGGGAAGCAGTTCCAGTGCTCAGTGACCCTCACTGTAATAAATTTCCATATGTTCAGATAGAACCTCCTGTGTTTCAGTTTGTGCCTACTGGCTTTTGTCCTGTCAGTAGACAACACTAAATAAAAACTGGACCCATTTTCTTTACACCCTCCTTTCATATTTTTATACTTCACCAAGGCCAAGTTGTGCTTGACCAACTAGGTAAACTTGTATGATGAAGTGACTGGGCTTGTAAGGGTTCAGCAGTGGATATTGCCTACCTGGGATTCCTGAAGGTCTTTGACACCATATCCCATCATATCCTCATAGAGAAGCTGTTGATGTATGGTACGGATAGGTAGACAGTGAGGTGGATGGGAAACTGGCTGAATAGCCCATCCCAGAGTTGATGATCAGAGTGCCAGTGGCTAGTGGGGATCAGTACTGCACCCAGTCTTGTTCAAATTCTTTACTGGTTGAGTGGGCAAAGTGTACCTCAGGAAGTCTACAGGTAACACCAAACTGGGAGGAGTGGATGATACAATGGAAGGTCGTGGTGCCATCTAGAAAGGCCTTGAAGGGCTGGACAAACCAACATGAACCTGTCGTGGTTTAACCCACAGCCAGACAGCTTGTTACCCACTCCCCCCCCTTCTTGCCCTCCCCCTACTCCTGGGGGAACGGAGAGGAGAATCAAAAAGAAATGCAACTCCCACGGCTTGAGATAAGAACAGTTTAGTAACTAAGGTACAATACGAATCACCACTGCTACCACCAACGACAACAATGATAAGAGAAAACAGCAAAGGAAAGGAGTACAATACCACGCGCCGAACCGCCAGTCCGACCCGGCCGACCCCCTCTCCTTCCGGGTTCCCCCCCGGTTCCCCCCTCGGCATGACGTGCTGTGGTATGGAATACCTCTTTGGTCAGTTTGGGTCAGGTGTCCTGTCTCTGCTTCCTCCCGGCCTCCCCTCCTCCCTGGTAGAGCATGAGACTCACAAAGTCCTTGGCCAAACCAAAACACCATTTTTATCAGCTTTGTTCCGAGCCCGAAAGTCAAAACACAGCACTGCACCAGCTACCAAGAAGGAGAAAAAATGACTGCTGCTGCTAAACCCAGGACATTATCCACCCCTTATTCCATACCATTCACGTCATGCTCAGATCCTACATTTTCAATATACCATCACTCCGATCTCAGTGCACTTCTATCTTAGTGCAAAGACTAGTCCCTATAAAGCTGCTGATTCCATCTGGTCCATGATGTCAGGCGCCATCTCTTGTAACAGTCTTTCAGAACAGGAGAGGCCGTGTGCAGTATTGGGTCGTTGCCTGCTGATGCTGATCATTCCCTTACTGTAGAACTTGTCTGGTTCTGTCAAAGTTCGCTCTCTCTTGGGATGATGGTTGGAGGGAAGTCAGGGCTAGTTGCTGGTGGCCTGAAGACATCTGGTTGATGGGCTATTAAAGTATTACACAGCAGGCAACAACATACAATTAAGTTCATTGGCTGTTTTCCCCTAAAATTAAATCCCCTTGAGGTACACATCGGACTTCCCCATCATCCTGCATTACCCACCAAGTGTATCCAGGTCCCTGAGCAAAAGCAATCCCACGAGTGGGTCTGCCTTTACTTGAAGCAGGAATAACCCAGACTGTCTTCCCCAGCAAATTCTTCATATGCACCACAGGAACTTTGTCCCCCTCTACAATATGTAAAAGTTCCGATTGGGCTGGGCCAGCTCTGTTGGCAGATCCTCTAGTGTTGACCAACCAGGTGGCCTTTGGTAAGTGTGTATCCCAAAATCTTTGCCCTCTGGCCAGTCCATGATGACTTCTAGAATGCCTGGACGACTGGGATTTCCTATTCGAGCTCGTTGTGTAATTAGTGCAGCCCATTTACTCCATGTAGCATCAGTTGCATGATGCGTAGAGGAGACCCCGCCTTTGAACATCCAGCCTAGCACGGGCAACCGGGGTGCCAGGAGGAGCTGTGCTTCGGTGCCAATCACTTCCGAAGCAGCTCGAACCCCTTCATAGGCTGCCAGTATCTCTTTCTCAGTTGGGGTATAGCTTGCCTCAGATCCTCTGTATCCCCGACTCCAAAAACCAAGGGGTCGACCTCGAGTCTCTCCTGGAGCTTTCTGCCAGAGGCTCCAGGTAGGGCCATTCTCCCCAGCTGCGGTGTACAATACATTTTTTACATCTGGCCCAGTCCGAACTGGTCCAAGGGCCACTGCATGAACTATCGCGCGTTTAATTTGCTCAAAGGCTTGTTGTTGCTCAGGTCCCCATTTAAAATCATTCTTCTTACGGGTCACGTAATAGAGAGGGCTTACAATCAAACTGTAATTTGGGATGTGCAGTCTCCAGAACCCCACTGCACCCAAGAAAGCTTGTGTTTCTTTCTTATTAGTTGGTGGAGACATTGCTGTTATCTTGTTGATTACATCTGTGGGGATCTGTCTACGTCCATCTTGCCATTTTATTCCCAGAAATTGAATCTCCTGTGCAGGTCCCTTGGCCTTACTTCGTTTTATGGCAAAACCGGCTTTCAGCAGGATTTGGATTATTTCCCTCTACGTTGCCAGTTGCTCTGCTTCCATTGCTGCAACCACCCCCACAGGGCATTTGCCACCATCCATGAGTCAGTATAAAGTGCTGGCCACTTTTCTTGTTCAGCAATGTCCAGGGCCAGCTGGATGGCTTTCACCTCAGCAAACTGACTCGATTCACCCTCTCCTTCAGCAGTTTCTGCAACTTGTCGTCGACGATTCCATACAGCTGCCTTCCATCTCCGATGTTTTCCCACAATACGGCAGGACCCATCAGTAAACAAGGCATACTGCTTTTCACTTTCTGACAGCTGATTATATGGTGGGGCCTCTTCAGCACGCATCACCTCCTCCTCTGTTGATATCCCAACCCCTTCGTGCCCCACGTTGGGCGCCAAAAAGAACTGTCGTGGTTTAACCCACAGCCAGACAGCTTGTTACCCACTCCTAAAGAAGAATAATCCCTTTCAACATGACTTAAGCGTCCAATCCTGTGATGACTATTAGAGGGGCCCTGCCTCCAGCCAGGTGGAGGTAGGGGACAATCGGATTTACTGGACTGTGTGGATCAGATGGCCTGGCACATCAGTCCCGCAGAAGTATAAGGCTCTAGTAGGTACTGGTGCAAGGTGTTCCCCCTCTCTTGCACCACAGGAGCTCACTTCAAGGGCCTAGAAAGACACTCACACCGTCCGCGGGCTCTTGAACTCTCTCTTCAAAGTTCTTTTCAACTTTCCCTTACGGTACTTGTTGGCTATCGGTCTCGTGCCGGTATTTAGCCTTAGATGGAGTTTACCACCCGCTTTGGGCTGCATTCCCAAGCAACCCGACTCCGAGAAGCCCCGGGCCCGGCGCGCTGGGGGGCCGCTACCGGCCTCACACCGTGGGGATCAGTACTGCACCCAGTCTTGTTCAAATTCTTTACTGGTTGAGTGGGCAAAGTGTACCTCAGGAAGTCTACAGGTAACACCAAACTGGGAGGAGTGGATGATACAATGGAAGGTCGTGGTGCCATCTAGAAAGGCCTTGAAGGGCTGGACAAACCAACATGAACCTTATGAAGTTCAACAAGGGGAAGCACAGATTTGTGTAACTGGGGAAGAACATGAGCCAGCAATGCTCCCTTGCTGCACAGACTGAAATGCAAATCAAGAAAAATAAATATTCTTGAACAGGATTATTCCTTGATTTTCAGAGCGCTTACAAAAAAATTGCATGTAACAGATATGGCAGGAATGTAAATACCTAAGGCCATGGCTGATTAAGGTAGTAGGTTTTCTTTTGAATGCAAGAAAATATTTATGTGAATTTAAATTGGAATTGTATATATTTCATGTTGGATTGATTAACCAGAATCTGTTTTTTTTTCATATTCTATTTCAGTAGTTTAGATATCCCTTCTGTACAGGAATAATCTTGCCAGATGAAACTATACATTTCAGGAAATGGTTTTGTCTAAAGGCACCAGCAAATAGCTGACAGAGAGTACTATTTGATGAACTGCAGCTACAACACATCTTTCCAGAAATCATAGCCTACATATTGCTGTATTATCTTGACTAAATTTTTCCTTTAAATATCTGCCTTAAAGAAGAAAATGACACCTCTGTTATCTACCAAGTCTAATTCTCATAATATTAGAAATCTTTCAATAATTTATCTTAAAAACAACATACCTAGAGCTCTATATTTGTAACATAATGTGAAGAAAAGTTACATAGCTCTGTATCATATAACGTAATGTATCCCACTTTAAAAGAAATCCATTGGATCTCAGGAACAAAATGAGCTTCCACTGTCTCTGTGTGAATTTAATCCATAGACCTCTATTTTGACTGGTATGTGAATGTGTATATGTATGCTTGTATATGTTTCTTTTAATATATAAATATGCAATTTTTGAGGAGGGTTGTTATTCTTAATTTTTCCTTTCATCTTCATGTGTTCTTTTTATGTCTCTTCTCCACTAATTCCTCTCTCTTGATGTGACTGAAACTTCATTCCTACTGAAAACAGTTGGGGTTTTGACATTGATTTGAAAGGAGTCAAGATTCATGCCCTGCAAATATTTACAGAAAGCAAGCTTGTAACTCCTAAAACGCACACTTGAAACTTCTACCTATCGTGATTACTCAGTCAGCTGTACAGATTGCACTTAGTAATTCTTCATTCTTTTGTTAAAAAACTTTTCTCCTTCATTCTGTAATGTTTTGTTGCTCTTGTTTGAAGCCCCAGAACTTGCAAAAGTTAAATGGCCATTTTCTATAAAACAGATTCAATTAAGTCTTAAACTCCTTCTAAAGAGGTTTACTGAACAAAATGTTAAAAAGTTGAAAAATACTTTATATATATATATACACACACATAAGAACACGTGTTGCTTTTTGGCTTCATTCACATAATTTGGGATGACGAAAGGCAGTAACAGCTGTTAAAGGTGGCTGTTAAGGGCAGAAAGGACTGGTAGTTTTGAGACCTCACAGGATGCTACTGATAGGCATTCAAAGAGGATAGCTGAGGCTACATCAAAGCATCATCAAGCTTTGTTTAAGTGCTAGGCTGCATCTCCCATATACTATAGAGCTACCCTGTGGCAATTCTAAATATAAACCAAGTCATAAGAAACCAAGCTGTATTAATGAATGCATTTATTTTTTAACAAAAGAAGAAAAGAATAACTGTTTTTGTCTCTCAAATTCAATGGTTTTCATAGCTGTTTTTTATTGTAAGGAGGGCATTCATTTAGAGGATCACTCCTGAAACCTAGGCTTCTCTGATGCTTTGTTTCCTGTTTTCTCTCTCTACCAATGCAGAGAGCAGATGCTCAGTAGCTGCCAGCTGGCTTTGAATGGAGAGACTATATTATAGTGCAGAAATACATTAAATCCCTAATTCCTCTGGGTACACAGTGCATAGTACTGAATTTACTATCTGACAAAAAGACAAAGGTTAAAAAAAAAAAAAAATTATTTCCTTTGCTTTTAGAAGTGACACAAGTTTTTTGAGCAGAAAACTTTCAGGAGAATCAGTTTAAAATCATGATAGAGTCCTATTAGCATTACTGAGAAAACGACCTTCACTAAGCTTGAAAGTATCTTCACCTGAAGTCTAAGAGTTTAACAGATATCTCTCATTAAAAAAAAATCCCAGTGAATAATTTTCAAGGAAAATTGGAATGAGATTGTGGACAGCACATAGTACACCCCAACATAAAAAAAGCAAAGCAAAGCAAACCAACCAACCAAAGAAAAACAACCCCCCCCCACAAAAAAAAAAAACAAAAACAACCCAAACAAACAAACAAAAAAAACCCTTGAAAATTATTATGAAAATTATTATTTTAACAACATTATGAAATGGAACAATTTTATTTCGATTTCCTTTTGTGGAAAATAAGACACAACATCTTCTAGTGTCAGAGGTGCTCAGAATGAATTAATAATAATAGACAAACAAATGTAAACAGACGTGCCTAACCTTCACTATGCTGGAATTAAAGGCTTTACAGTAAATGCATTTGTAATGAGTAGGAACATTCTGGTCTGGATGATAGTTTCTTTAGTTCAATTCAGATTTCCAGATAATTTTTTTAAATATGTTACAAATCCTGCATAAGAAAAAATCTTGATTTTGCTTTTTATTTATTGTTTATCTATAAAAGTGTAGGGTTTTAGAACATTTAATCAGATTCAAAATTTACTGCTCTTCACAAAAAAAGGATTAACATACCTAATTAGCAAGAATCCGCACAGAATTTGTGCAGATTAAGTCTTTAACTTGTGCTCTATGGCTCACCTCTCTTCCTTGTTTTAACACATTATAACAAACTGTTATTGTAAGCAGCCAGCAAAAAGTATTATCTACTGTTAGCCACTGTGATCAAGAATGTGGCAATGAGGAGGGATACCATATATAACACTAATTTAAAAATATAATTCCATTCAGTTAATCACATTGGATACACTAAATGAAGGCAAATATGAAAAACTAAGAAGAGCTCAGTGATTTTAACAGGTTATGATAAAACCTGTATTCTGAGAATTTGTGAATGATTCACCCATTTTCAAGTTGTCCCACATTTGCCATCTTATTTCTTTAGGTGACTTCCTACATCTGTAAGGAATTTAAGTTCCGCATATGTTCAAAGAGGCTGGCCATGAAATCAGTCTTCTGAACTCATGTAGGACTGGAAGTTACAGTTTCTGAACAGTAAAGCTACATTAAAAGATTTTTAATATTTACATAGCCTTATATTTTCCTACTACATAGCTATGGGTCCATTTGTTGTTTTTCTCCTCCTCCTAAAAAATTTTTTCTCTGTGTTGGGTCAAATACAAATCTAGTATGTTACACCATGAATCTATTCCATGACATTTTTAAGCTACTGCTTCTTTAGTTGTTATGGTCTGCCAATTGCTCTCACCATGCCAGGTACAAAGTCAAACAAAGCCAATGAAGTATGCACTGATTTGAAGTAATCGTTTTAGTAGTGTTAACAGCTTTTAGTTAAGGAAGATAACCTCACAACAAAATATTGTAAGGGTGCCTTAAAACAATGTATGTGTTCATCCTCCTCTGCTGTTGTTTCTTCCTTCCATGCAAACTAGATAGGGCTTTGTGTTTATGTATGATGTTAAATCTATGTAAATAGGGAAACAGAATAAGGCTGTAATTTTTTTTCCAAGTGGTTTCACTATCTATGATCCAAATTCTAGCTTTGATATAAAACAGCTCTCTGTAAGCTTGGTTGAAACTTTTGAGAAAATTGATGAATGGTGAGAAATGTCTATAAATTCATAGGAAAGAACCATAAAAGATAACAAGAGTAAAAATGCAGGAAGAGGTGGATATTGAGATAGTACAGTAGTCAGCATCTGGTGAATTAAAGACAAAAAACACTGATGCGGAAATGTATAAAATCCCAAGAAAAAACAAAATGTATGTGGAAACAAGATGATTTAGCAACATCAAGGATCAGCCCATACCAAGGAGCAAGAGAGGTCACCCTTCGAATTCTAATGGCTATATATCTACCAACAAAGACACAGTGTCTCATCTTAAATACCAAACACATTAATTATTAATCTGGGAGATTATCAGTCTTGGCCATCTACTAAATATATTCACATAAAAATAATAATTGCTTTGAATTATTTTAATTATGAGTAAGCTTCCTGCAGTCCTTTTGCAACTTGGAAAAGATGCCTGTATTGTGATCCAGAGCTGAAAATTTTAAGACCATTTGGGCTGATAGTACAAGCATGCAAAATACATTTTATATATGTAAAAACTGCTGAAGGACTACATTGTTAAAACACTTCAATGCATTAAACAATCCAGAGTTCTTCAA